AAACAGATTTAGCAGAGAGATGTGAACATCTCCTGGACGAGGGTGACAACTTCTGATGAGCTACAGATTCCTTGATCCCTGGAAATTCTAGAACTCTTTAGGTTGGGTATAGGAAAACCAGGTATGAGTTCAGGGAACTCAGTTCTTGTTTCATCTGCGCCAGGTAATCAGACTTGGCTGAAGACCAATGTCCTGAACACAAATAAAATAGCAACCATCTAGAATTATACTGTGGCTTTTAACTCTATCAAACAGCTTGGAACACAGGAGGCATGAAAAAATTTTAATTCTTAATTTCCATGCTATTAAATTTCAATATTCACATTTCTAATACAAAAATATTATCAGAAAAAATATGTAATTTACCTGAACACAATATGCAAAACTGGAAAATAGTACCATTAAAGTAGTTAAATCCACAGAATTATTTTTTGTCATGAATTCAATGATATTGCTATTATCTAACTCTGTTTTTACTCATATTTACCTATTTTGCATCAATTCTGCTTTCTTATTCTTTTTCCCCATATATCCTAATTTCACAAAACTTTTCTCCATAGAAAATGTAAATTGAGAGAATGTTTTCTTTTTTTTTTTTTTTTTTTTTTTTTTTTTTTTTTTTTTTTTTTTTTTTACTGTATGAGTGTTTAAGTGTATAAATTGTTTTCTAAATCATGCTAGCAACTGGATTTTTTTTTCAAGGTAATAGGGGGCTTGAATGTTGACTTTAGTGGATTTTGTTGTAGTTCAGTCATTAAGCCATATATGACTCTTTGCGACACCATTGACTGAAGCATGCCATGCTTCTCTGTCCTTCACTATCTCCTGAAGTTTGCTTAAGCTCATGTCCACTGAGTCAGTAATGCTCTCTAACCATCTCAACCTCTGCCACCCTGTCTCCTTTTGCCTTCAATCTTTCCAATGAGTTGTCTTGTTGTGTCAGGTGGCCAAAGTATTGGAACTTCAGCTTCAGCATCAGTCCTTCCAATGAATATTCACAGTTGATTTCCTCTAGGATTGACTGATCTGATCTCCTTGCAGTCCAGCGGACTCTCAAGAGTCTTCTCCAGCACCACAATTTGAAAGCATCAGTTCTTCAGCACTCAGCCTTCCTTAGGGTCCAACTCTCTTATCTGTACATGACTACTGGAAAAACCACAGCTTTGACTATATGCACTTTTGTTGGCAAAATGGTTTTTGCTTTTTAATATGCTGCCTAGGTTTGTCATAACTTTCCTTCCAAGGAGCCAGTGTCTTTTAATTTCATGGCTGCAGTCACTAACCTCAGTGATTTTGGAGCCCAAGAAAAGAAAATCTGTCACTGCTTCTGTTTAAACAAGGTCAGGCTTTATGGTGACCTCATATGATAGCAAGAGGCAACACTGAAGGCTTTCTTCAGGATAGGTGTAACAGAGTCAAAGAGAAGTTCAAAATTCAGTTGGAAGCAATGTAGTCTAGAAAGAATGAAGACCTAGAGTTAATGATATCAAAACAAGTGAGGCCTCCAAACACGTCCTGCAATAATACTAATATTTTTTGAATGATAAATCTGATATAAATCATGCATAAATTGCCCTTTTCCCTGAAAAAGTTGATGACACAAAGAAATCAATGTGCCGTATCTCTCAGGAATTCGTTGTAGTCTTCCTTTCTTTCCTTGATGAAATCCACTGGATGTATCTTTTTATTCAAATTTGCATCAAATTAAAACATATATTTCTGTAGGCATGTTGCTGTAAGTGGTATTTTTGGCTCTTTTCTTGGTTTTACACAGAATGGAAAGTGAGCCAGGGAAAGAATCAAACTTGAACTCATATCTATGACTTGCATTGTGCAATGACATAAATAACATTACTTGTGAATATTTGGAATGCAAGATACATTTTTGCAATTAAAATACAGAGCCATGATTCTGTGTGGTGGATGAAAGTGAACATAAATACTCATATCTTGTTGCTGACAGGGTATCAAAGTTGTGGAATTAAGTTAGCTAGTGTGGGAGTAAACATACTTCAACCATATAATTTACTAGTACAGACTAAAAAAAATTCCCTGGGGGTCAGGTGGGGGGAGGTACAGAAGAGTCCTTCATCAGTGATACACACTTATTCTTTATCTCATTTTCCTTGCAGAAAAAAATGTGTCTATGGTGTCTACTTTTTCCGTCTTAAGGAAGTTACAGTAACAGACCTTTATGCTAAAATCTAGAAGGACAAATGAGTTAATGAATGTTAAATGCTTTTGAAGTATTTAAATGAACAGATGAATATAAAATTGTGGCATTAAAATGAGCAATCCAGGGTTCCAATTCAGTTATCTAATGGGTACCCTGTCTTTGGACATGCCCTCAAAATGGCTTTAAGTTTTTCAGGGCAGGCAAAATGACATAGGTAGGGGTAGCTATTTTGCAAAGATAGTTTGGAAAACTTAAGTAGGAGAAAAGCTACTGGGCATACTGGAGAAATTTCAAGTTGAAGATATTCTTGTGTTAAAGAAATTGATGAATTTTCAGGAGACCTCCTGTGTGTCGGGTATACTGTTAGATGAACAGAATAGAAAAATGAATTGGATGGGTCCTCTCACATTCAAAGAGGTGATGGCTAACCACACAAATAATTATCACGCTGTGAGATTGGTATTAGGCTGGGGGCTTGCACAAATTCCTGTGTAAGCGGTGTAAGGTGGACTGGGACCAGGAAGAAGGAGGTGAGGTGTTTTAAATTCAAGCGAAATTGTCGACTCATTTAGATGTCATTTCAAACCAATGGTGACAGTTTTTGCTTAGGGCGGCGGAGGGGCGGAGTGGGAAGCGGGAGAGTGGTAGCAGTTGCCAGACACACATCACACTAAAAAGACAAGACGAAACAAGGAAATTCTCTTCCAAAACAGTGGGGAAAAAATATCCAGAACTCCCTGAAATAAAGGAAACCTTCTGGTTACAACGTGCGTTGCTAGGGATTTATTTTTTCCCCTCCTTTTCTAAGAGAGTAAAATCGCACAGATATATTGAAGCCCTTGGAGTTTTGTGAGCAAAGTGTGTACTCAAGACGTCAACTGAGCACGGGGTTAAGTGCCCGACTACAAAGGGTTAAACGGAAGGGGGTGACTCGGAGATGGGGAAGGCTGGCGAAAAGGTTCACAAGCACCATTTTCCAACTTGCAAAAACTCTGAACTTTTAAGCACCCAAAAATACGCATGTGTGTGTCTGTGAGCTCAGGCAGATTTATTTCGGTAATTTTTTTTTAAAAAATCATAATGTCTCTGTTTCTCTCCCAGTGCTTTAAACACTTAGCAGTCCCCCTTAGGATCGCGTGGCAAAAGCTGCAGCAAGGCTTGGGCTGCGCTATTTACGAGCAGCGTTCAAAGCAGCCCTCTTGTCCTCCACCCACTGCAAACGACCGTCTTCAGCCTGGGTTACCTCTGGGGCCCTAGAGCTCGCAGCTGGGGAAACCTCCTTCCACCGCCAAACTTTGCCGCGGCGTGAGAGCGAGGGCGCGAGCCGGAGTGCGCGGGAACGCGCCGCCCGCCGCCGCCTCCGCCCGGCGCTGGCAGCCCTGGCCTCACCTCCGCCGGGCGAGGTGCAGGCTCCCCGCGCTCAGCCAGTGGGCGGCGCCGGACCGCGCGGGGCGGGGCCGAGGGGGGGGGGTGGGGGCTCCTCCGGGTATATAAAGCCGGCGCCGGCTTAACTTCTGACTTGGGGTTATTTATTTGGGGAGTACGCGGACGGCGGAGGCTGGTGGTGGTGGCAGCGGCGGCTGCAGCCGCAGACGGTGGTTAAAAAAGGCGGCAGGGAGCGGCGGCGAGTGATGGGAGCTCCGTGGCTCCCGGGCGCAGGCGGGATCTGCCGAGCTTTCCGGGCAAGGCGGGAGCGCTGAGGAGAAAGGGGAGCGTCCGGGGGCCCGCGGCCAGCTCCAGAAGCGCGGGCCGGGTTTTTGTTCGGCTGCGCTGAGCGCCAGGCAGCCCGAGCCAACAACTCCAGTTACAACAACAACCCACCTTCCCGCAGCCGAGCTTGACTAGGGCTGCTGCGTCCGTCCTATTGTTTAGACACTTGCCAGGAGCTCGGGAGTCAACAGATCCACCGAGTCCCCGCTCCCTACCGCCGCCTTCCCTCTTCCCCACTTCCCTCCCCCCAGAAAGAGGCGCGGAAAGCCACCTGGAGTTGGGAAGGTGCTGGAAGGAGACGGGCTGCTCCGGACTGCGGCCGCCGAGTCAGGTGCAGCCGCCCGGATTCGAGCGGCGTCGCGACGTCGGCGGGAGGACTCCCACCGTAGCTGTGGGGACTGGATTCAAAGCCTGGGAAAAGTTCCTGCACTTTGAGAAGAAGGGCCCACTTGTGGGCGGCTATAGGGGGGAGACCGAGGGGCTGCGCCCCGCCCCCCTCCAGGAGGCTGCTCTTCTTTCTTCCACCTTTGCCATCAGGTGTCTGCTGCGGAGCCGCGGCGTATCCGGGAGACGCGAGGGGCTGACACACGCACGCACACGGGACTGCAGTTCCGCTGCCTCCTGGGGTCTCCTCGGATTAGCAGACCCCACCGACCCAACTGCCGTCTCTCCGCCCTCCGGAACACCCCGGGAGGACCTGGGAGGCGGACCCCTCCAGCTTGGCCTTTCCACACTCTTTCTGGCCGGCCTGCCAGCCATTCCCTACTCAGTCTTAGCAGGAGCTCTCATCCTCAACTTGGCCTCTTGGATTTCCTCTGCCGTGGTCGTGACTAGTGGATGTTCCTGCCTGCTGTGGTTCGATTGCCCTTTTGTCTTTTCTGCTTGACCTCGGGGAAGGCCCTCGTGCGGAGCGTCTCCAAGGACGCCGGGCGGGAGGCGGAATTGCCCATACATCCTTTAGCGAAGTGCATGTGACGGGGACCGGCTGGGGCTGCGGAGGAGCTGCAGGCCAGGGGGGAGGCCGCGTGAGTGAGTCACGCCAGGAGCCCCGCAGCGTGGTTCCGCGCCCCTCAGGCTGCGCGCCAGCCCCGTGCGCCCCCGCGCGCCATGTCCACTCGTCCAGTGTGCTTCGCTGCCGGCCCGCGGGGCTCCTGCGCCTTTTAGTTTCGGAGAGCCCACTTTGATCGAGGCCACCATTCCTACTGAGCCTCCTCCTTCTGTCTTCTACAGTCTTCACTGGAATTGGATTTGCAGAGGGGGTCGGTGGAATCGGATCACCTCAGTTCCACGCACAACTGGCCCCTGCATCTTCACGATCTTCATCAGCCGTTGCAAGCTTCAGGTCTCTTACCGCCAAGTTGGTATCTGCCAGACAGACGACGCGCGATCCGCTCACCACTGCTCTGGGGTCTCCCTGTAGCCTTGGCCAGGCCAATTGATCTTCTGGACCTTAAGTTGCCCAAGGAGCGCCTGCCCTGCAGGGAGAGAAGGGCGAGGGGAGCTGAGAGGCGTGTACCTGTGTCAGCTGTACTGCCTTGAATATTACTGTTACTTCTGTATTATTTCGTGCACGTTATCTGGACACTGGGTGGCTGGGCTCGAGGCACTGGGCCTCAGTGGAACGAGGAACGAGCTCAGAGGAACGAGCTAAAGAGAAACCCCCGGGGCCGGCGAGCTAGGAGGCGGCGGGGGAAGATGCACGGCGTCGGCTGGCAGACGCTGTCCCTGTCTCTGGGGTTAGTGCTGGCGATCCTGAACGAGGTGGCGCCGCAAGCGTGTCCGGCGCAGTGCTCCTGCTCCGGGAGCACAGTGGACTGTCACGGGCTGGCGTTGCGCAGTGTGCCCAGGAATATCCCCCGCAACACCGAGAGACTGTGAGTATGGGCTCGTTCTCCCCCTTGGCCCTCCCTCCCATCGGGGTCGCGCAGCCCCTGTATCTAGACTGCAGGGACCCCGAGTCACAGGGACTTGTGCCCGGGGCATTCCCCACCAGCTTTTCTCAACGCGCATCCTAGGCTTGAACTCTCTGGGAGGGCGCTGCCCAAGGAGGGGCCACTGCCCAAGGAGGGGCGGGCCCGCTGACTACTGCGCTAGGTCCCTTCCTCCGGCTCTCGTCCTGCCACTCGCAAACCTTTGCGGGCTGGTTCTCTGAGGCTGGGGAGGCGGGGAGATGAGGAAAGAGGAGTCGAGTTTGCCCGGGGCAAGGGAGACGCGACTTTGTTCCTTGGACTCCGTAAACTGAGTCACCTTGCGGTTGGAAACTCTCGCGGGTCGGTTCAGGGCTCAGTTCCGGCTCATGTCACCGCGGGGTGGCGCGAGGAGGGGGGTGGAGGGGAAGGGGGTACTCAAATGAGAGAAACCTCTGCTCCCGGGCTTTATGTCGCCCTCCTGGGGACGGAGGGAGAGGAGATGGGGTGTGGGGAGGCTGATCCCGCTCGGGGGCGCTTCCACAGGCCCACGCAAGGAGGGATGCCCCCAGGATAGCGGCCGCGCGCAGCCCCCGGCTACTCTTCCCCCGCCTGCCACTTCCCGGGGGAGGAGGCGGCGGCGGAGAGCCCCCAGGGACGTGTCGGAGCCGGGGGACTCCAGAGGCAGACCGCGCGTCCCACCGACTAAGCGAAGTTAGGGCTGGCTGTCCAAACCAGGACCGGTCAAGGCGGGTCTGACCGCTTGGGTAACCCCGCGGCCCTCGGCTGCCCCGGCCGGCCCTTCCTGCTGAGCCCCAGTGCCCCCTTTCCACCTTTCTGGCAGTTTCTGCGTCTCTGCGCGCGTCAGCAGCTCCCTTTCCTTCCTCTCCTTTCTTCGCGCTCTGCTGCCCGCAGACATCCCCGCCTCCCTGTCTCTGCGAGTCCCTAATGAAGAAGTAATAGCCGAGCGGGTGATGACGGCCCACGCGCTGCTTGTGGGGCGCTTTCCGAGTTCAGGGAAGTGAAGCGTGGAGGCCGTTCTCTTTGTGAACGTCGAGGCCGCTGCCCCGGCGTCCGGGGCGCGCTTCCCTCGCTGTTGCGCGTGGGCCGGGCGGGGCAAGGAGGACCTGCGAGGCGCTCCCAGGCTGCGCTCCGCGGGCCTCTGCGCCCGGGGCTGTGAGGGTGGAGGGCCGCGGAGGGGACCCGCTTGGACTCCACCCGCGCGGCTCACGGCACTGCGAGTCGGTCGTATCCAACCCATTTCCCTCTCTCTCAGTTTCAAGTCGAGCCACTTCTTTCCCTTGCAAATGGCTCCCCCATCCCGAGCCTCATTGAGCTGACCGCTCCTCGGTTTCTGCCTTCCTTCCCAGGCCCGCAGCGCTGGGCACGTTGCGGCCCTACCGAAGGGGTCTTGTCAAAAATGTGATCTACCAAGTTTGTGTGGGATGGGGGGCTTGAGGACTCAGGTTATGTCAGCTAGTTCGAAAAGAGAACAAACCATTCGATGGGTCTTTGCTCAGCACGGAAAATGGTTTGGGGAGTAGGCAATGCAAAACTCAGTCTTAGCGCTTGTCATTTCATGCTATTCAGAATGGTTTAAAGTTTAAGCACTAACACGTCCTATTCAACAAAAGGGGAATGCATTTGGGGAAAAAAATAAATATAGCAACTGAGTTTTAGGTACTTGCAAAAATTTACCCCTAAGAGGGATTTATAAAGAATTTTCCGAAAATAGTTTACTCAGTGGCGGCTTATAAAATTGTATTATTGACAACATAAGCACATTAAATACAGACCCCAAACATGCTGTCTTAAAGTCAAGGTAAGGTTTACTTCCCTGAAGCGGAGAACTTTCAAACCGCAGCAAAGCCTGGTTTTACTTGAAATGATTGAAACCAGGGCAAGTTTAGATCTTGACCTAAGATGCCAGAAAAGGGGGTTGTGACTCTCAAGGAAAGTGTGGTGCTGAAATCTGGACCAAAATGTCAGGGTCTGAATACTATTTCCATTATTGCCCTTGCTGGTAGTTTTCACTTTACAGTTCGCAGCGGGGGTTCCTGAGCTGCAGATAAAGAGTTTAGTTTTCATACAAACATAGAATTGTTGGAAGGTAAATGCCTATAAATGCCAGTCTTTGAAGTGCAGTTCTTTTGATGACATTTCAACTGTATTCTTTGCCTTAGGAAGTTTAGCCACGGTGCCACCTAAGGATAGGGGTCTGAATTTTTAAAATTTCTCCCTGAATAATATTATAAAATTGTTTGTTTAACTTCCTGAAGCAAACTTTTTGGGAGTGTTCATAACAATTATAGTAAATAGCAGAGTATCTGTGAAATTAATATACACCTCCTTATAAAAACAAAAATGAAAAGCACTCCCATACACACACAAAAGAGAACTCTTGATAACAGAATCCCTTCATTTTCTTGTCATATGCTGGTAAGCATAGACTGTAAACTTGCTAAGAATCATTTAAAAAATTTTCTTTCACAGATGACTTCCTTCTCTTTCCCTCTCTTTTACTTTGCAAACTAATAATTGAAACTGATCTTTTATCTCACAGTTCTTATTTAGTGTGTATTTTTCTTTAACTAGATAGTGATAGAAATTAAATGGAAGTTTCATTTTCTTACTTGTTTTCTCTTAGGGATTTAAATGGAAATAACATCACAAGGATTACCAAGACAGATTTTGCTGGTCTTCGACACCTAAGAGTTCTGTAAGTATGTTCTTCTGTGTTTTGGAGAATTACCATGTTTTTTAAGGTTGTGGATTTTGAATCATTACTGATCTCAGGTTTAAAAACTGTCTCAATGACAGAAACATAAAATTTTACCAGGCCTTGGTTTCCTTTCTGTTTATCAGTGTGCTACAATTTTTAATAAAAATGTAGGCTTTTAAGTTTAGGTGCAGGCCATAAAATAGTATTATGGAAATGACCTCAAATATTTGCTGTAACAACCCTAAGTGCTTATGCATATAAAAATGTAGCATAATTGCTTTCACAATATGCGTAATGTGAGACATTTGATATACTTTTAGGATTTGAGATTAGCTAGAAAGAATTTAAGTGGATCTGCATTTTATTATTGCTAATATAAAAATGTTCAGACTTTTCTAGCAATCAACACATATAAATATTTCCTAACATTAAAATAAAACAATCCAGGTTTTTGCTAAGTTTTTAGTGTGAAATGTTTCCCACTAAAATATTTTGAATTGGTAATATTTTGAATTATCTCTTGTATCTATTAACTTTGCAGCTTTTATAAAATTGTTGCAATGTGATTACTTCTTTGGGTGTTAAGTTGTGAGTGAACCATCATTTGAGATTCAGTGTAATGTAAAACTTTTTTCTTACAAATTTTTAATTAAATTTAAATTTAATATTTATATTGCAGTGAACATATACTTTTGATCATTGTGTGTTCACTGTTTATTTTTAAAAAACACAGTTTGCCCTTGATGAATTCTTCCCATTTCTGACATTTATCCTTCAGTGAACTGAAGTCTATATGTGATGAATTATTGTATGTTGATTCTTTCAGTTAAGAACTCACTTGAAAACCAGCCATCAAAATTGTAGTATCATGGGTTACACCTCAAGATATACTATAGTTTAAGGTTCAGGATTCTGACTAAATTTTGTGAGAAACTGAATTAGTATTTTTTATGAAAGTTTTGTGATGAGGATACTATTTTCCCTCCCTGACTCTTTTCATATATATCATTGTTAGATTTTGTATTGAATCTGAAACCAGAGCAGTATTTAACTTTGTAAATGGACAGGTTTTAAGTTGCTGAATTGAAACTTTTTCAGATAATGAGTGCTAACATTAAGACCCCTGTTATACTTTGCATTTCAGTCAGCTTATGGAGAATAAGATTACCACCATTGAAAGAGGGGCATTCCAGGATCTTAAAGAACTGGAGAGACTGTGAGTATTTTCAATTCCAAGCTTATGACGACATAACTATATTTTTAATAATACTTGCATTTCAAGGACCATGTCTCTAATTTCATGTCTTAGTCTTTGTGAATTTACAAAAACAAGAGGTTGAATTAGTGATTTTTAAAATAATTTACAATTAGAAATTATAGAAGTTTTGCCTAAATAGTACTAATTTGTGATAAAGTTCAAAAACATACTTACTTTCCTGACACTTTTACTTTCTTGGTAACCATAGCTTTGGTGCTTAGAGATACACATTTTTTCTTATTGTTCATATAGTTTGTTTTATTTGCTTATGGGAGGAAAGGTGGTATTTTTATTTGTATTTATGGGGCATTATAAAACAAAATTTTGCTGATAATTATTTTAGTTCCCATGATGTTGCTATGTGTGTCATTAATGGCATTGGAAGAAATATTTAAAGTTCTTAATGTTATAAAGATTTGCTTTCTGATATTTAACACTTATGGTGAATATTTATTTCATTATTTTATAGTAGCTTTCTAAATATTCTTTTTGCTGGGAAAAGCATTTAAGGATAAATGGAAGTAAGAATTACTTTATCAAAGCATGTCATTTAACATTAATTGTTTTTTTCCCAAGAAGATCAAATGTGGACTTCAGAATTTAAAATGCATTTTTTTTTAATTTCAGACACAAAATCTTATGGATTGATATATATTACTTGAGAACCATTATTATTTTAGGCCTACGTGTATATGTACAAAAGACATATGTATAGGTACATATGTACCTATACATATATGAAGCCTCTGTCTGAATTAAGATAAATACACAATTTGTAACTTGAAATATGAATTATATATCTCCATATGTCTTGATAATTCAAGTTTAGTAGCTTTGCATTTCTAAGGCCAAACAGTGGCTCTATTAAAAGTAGCAGCAATTATTTTAATAAGTTTCCTTGTCTGTTTTAAGAGGCACTTTAGGTAAAAGTAAAAATTTTATTTAAAATAGTGAGATATGAAGCTCGTTTTGGGTATAGCACATACTCAGATTCATTGGGCCCAATTACAAAAGTTAATTCAGTATAATTGTAAATAAAAAAATGACTTGTCAACTTCTAAGTTATTTGTAAATAGAAGCTACACTTATAACTTAAAGTTAGATACAGATATACCTAATTTATTTATACAGAATTTTTCCATGAACAGTATTACAATAAAGGGATATATTTGTGGGATTCAAAATAAATGTAAAGCCACTACTTAAAGCTAGTTTTGGGAAGGAAATAGAGATAAGGAGAACATTTGGTTACGTTTATAACAAAGTTCATAAGTTCATAATCTATCTCAATGTTGTGGGGTAATTAGCCTCCAACTAATAGAAATAAATGGAAAAAATATATATATATAAATACTCTGAAACTATTTATTCTCTGATTTCTTTTGTGACTAGCTAGTGAGTACTTGACAAATTTATTTTTAATTCATCCATTGAAACTAAGCATTAATATAATTTAAATGATAAGATGAAGAGATAATTTAAAATTATCATTTAAATGTTAATAGTTTTTTTCATCAATAACTTATATTTATTCATGTATGTGTGTGTGTGTTTAGGATTTGTATATACATGTGAGATATATATGTATGTATATTTATGTTTTTTTTCTTGAACAACTTTGACCTTGAAAGATTCTCAGTGGCTTTTCATGAAGTCTCTATTTGGTTTCTTTTGTAGTTTTGAGTATTTTCAGAAACACTGAAACAAAACAAACCTTTTCATTGTTTTTCAAGCCACTTTGGAGTATCGTTTGAACTTTCATTTTGAATAAATTGACTTTTCCTAAAATTTATTAACCAGATACTTTATGATCTGAAATTCGATTAAAGTTGTAAGTAGGTGCTATTTTTTGACTTTGACTTCCCCTGGGAGTGTCACTTCATCTCAGAACAATTTTCTGTTCCATGAAGATGCAGTAAGATGTTTCAGAGTGGGAGGAGGGTTTGTAATTTTGAATGAAAACTAATATATATGCAGGACTTCTTTAAATCACCCCAGCTGTTGGCAGAGAGCAAATATTTCATATTTGTGAGGAAAAGCTGAGAAAATTCCTTTTGTTTACAACTGCCAAGTCCATCTGATGGAAACACATTGTTATCTGACAGCCAATTCATCTCCTTGGGACTCTGGAATTCAAAACCATTTCTTAGGAACACTTTTCAAATATTTAGTTTTTTTTAAAATACATTAAATGGCAAACAGTTTTGCTAAAGAATGCGTTCAAGTTATTGTGAAATAAACTGTTTTATATTTTGTTCAGTATATTAATTAAAAAATAGAAATTTAAAAAGCTACCCAGAGAGTTCTATAATCAAATTACTATGGCATTATAATGATATAATTATGGCATACATTCTTATTGTAGTAGGTGATGTCATTAACATCGTATAGATTGCTTCCCCTCCCAATAGTTGCAAGAGACAATGTAATAAATTGGAAGTAACCAGTGAATTAACTTTTAAATAATATATCTCATGTGAACTTATGTTTTTGGCACCTTGAATCTGAAGTTTAAATTCAAACTTCAAATTATGAAAAGGTCTATAAATGCAGGTTTATGTTGTAAATGCCATTTATACTACATATATATAGAGAGAGCAACTTAACTTTCATTCTTTGTGTAAAGAACAAAAATAAAAATATTAACTTTATTTGTGTGCAATACATGGTTTTAAGTTTGTTTTTCCATTTTAAAATGATAAAATCAAAGAAATTCCAAATGATATGTTGTGAATATTTCAAAATTATAAGTTTTTTCTTTTTATTTTTTGTTTGATAGAGTTTTAACTTGATCTAGAGAAAGAAGACTCTGAGAACAGAAGATAAGAGCTGTTCCTTTTAGAAATCTGACTTTTAATCTCTAAGAAACAGGATCATTTTATCAGATTGAGTTTAATTTTAGTATAGGATAAAAAAAATCATTATTGTTAAAACAATATAGGTACAAAAGAAGCACTTTTTTTTTTTCCACTTCAAAGAATTAATGGAACTCAAGGTTATCAGTCAAAACACCAAGAACTAGATTGGGAATTAAAATCATCTGTCTCTCCCTCTTTCCTTTCCTTCTTTCCTTTCCTCTCTCACTGCCTCACTGCCTCTCACTCACTTCTTTGTACTGTGTAGAAAACATCAGATGATATGATGATCAGACTGTGGTTATGAATCATCATAAAAAGAATAAGTTTTCATCACACCTACACACTATGAGCACACAGCACATCTACTTTTGAACGTTTCCTACTGTGCACCTTGACCTAACATGTGCCCTGGCAGATTCCCGTGGGTGCTCTGAGTTGCCAGTAGTACTTGGTTATCTGGGATGAGAATGAAGCCTTGAGAATGTGCCTGATGTAGATTGCATTAACAGGTCTTATACTGCATTACAGGTCTCATATTGTTTGATCAAACGTTCAAATGAAAGCTGATATAGTTAAGTGACTAGATAATCAATGGAAGCTAAGTAAGGGAAAACAAATAAGCTATAGTGAAGAACTGGAGCATTTAAGAATTATACTTCATTATATTTCATAGAAGATACCTGTGTATTTCTGCAATAAAGTCTCCATACAAAATTATTAATTCAAAGTATTTCTTGATTAGTGGGTAATGTGTTAGAAGGCTAAAAAAAATCACACTGGAACTGATGACTTTTCTCTGCAGGTGTGAAGTTCCATTATTCACTTATGTCTTACGGGATTATGCTGAAGTAATTAAAGTTCTATTTTATGGCATTTTAGAGAGACCCAGGCCACTTCGGGGCTTCCCAAGTGGCACTAGTGGTAAAGAATCCATCTGTCAGTGCAGGAGACATGAGAGATTCAGTTTTGATCCCTAAGTCGGAAAGATACCTGAAGGAGGACATGGCAAGCCATTCCAGTATTCTTGCCTGGAGAAGCCTATGGACGGGGGAGCTTGGCAGACTGTAGTCCATAGTGTTGCAAAGAGTTGGACATGGCTGAAACGACTTGGCAGGCGTGCATGCAGGCCACTTCAGTATTTCACTACTGTAAAACATCTGCTTTTATATATTCCTTGACAACACAAATACAAGAGTATGAGAAAGTTTTTGAAATTTTTTAAGTTTGTTCAAAAAATGGTAGGGCATTTTGTACTAAATGCAATGAAACACTCATAATGCAAAATAAAATTCATATATGCCTACATTACATTAATGAAAACCAGTAGCATACCATTGAAAACCTTGGATATTAGGTATTTCATTAACTTCATAATATCTTACACGCTTACAATAACGAAATTGCACAAGTGATAAAGCCAAAGGCTTGGGTTGTACTTTGGTTCCTATCAGTAAAGTGTAATGGCGCTCTTAAGACAATATTTCTTTAAACATTCCAAGTTTTTGTATCTTTGGATTTCAGACTACCTTTTTTTTAAACTTATGTCATTTGATAACTCATTTTTGCTTGAATAAAAGAGTCCTAAAAGTATTATTATAATGAAGCCATTGTAAAACATGTTCACTTGTCTATTTTAGTTTCTACCAAGTAGATACAAAGAAAATAACTCAGTTTAGAAATGTCTTCACAATAGAGCCTAAGTTTGACTACACACTTTACTCTCCCCAACGGATATCTCAATGGCACATGTATTTTTTGAAGGTGGTACTAAGTTATTTCTCCCTGGGTGTGCACACCATTTATAGGCATGTGACAGCTAGTGTGAAACTAAGGAACTCCAACACTCTAGAATTTTGGTTGTAGGTCACTACACATTAGTTCAAGCAGAGAATGTGTTGTGGAACAGATCTGAGGGAAGTCTCCCCCAATCCCTTGCTCATTAGGGACGTGGAGAATCCCTCTTCTGACTCATCCTACAAGTTTATAGGCAACACATAACACATTCTTTTTCTTGAAGTAATGACATACTAACAGTGCTAATCTACTTGGAAAAGAATGCAAGCTCATCATACTTTCTGGCACCTTTATACTCAAGTTTAA